GCTTTCATATCAAAGCAATGTCGGCCTTTTGCCAGGAAAGCTAAGGCGCTTCCACTTTGCAATGGCTTACCCGGTCTCATTAAGCTCAGCACTTGCATGCAAGATGATTAGGGTAGACTAGGGTAAATGTAAGGAGAGGAAAACTTATACAAAATGGTGTTTCATTGGTTCATACAACCACCTTTGCTTTTATGATACAGAACACAACCAGATCCAAATTCACAAAATTGGCTGAAAGCTAAAGCTCTGGAAATGGGATTAATCATCGTCGTAAACGAGTTCAAAGCTCTCATGGACAGCCTTATTTGCATCAAATATGTTCGTAAAATTGTCTTAAAACTTTCACATCCATGTCCTCTATATCTGGTTCTAGCCCAGCTCATGGAGCGTCAGCCGTATGAGTAATGCGTGGTAGACACGCGGCCCGGCCTCCCTGGGACCAGATTTACGTGACTTGTATAGATGAAGGTCAAATGGCAGCTGACCAAAATGGCCAAGGACGGGTAATGTGTAGCGTGACATTATATTATACGCATGTACATATCATACGCCCCCTCATTCCGGACACACTTTTCTGTTTTTATAGATTTTATCTGTCCTTTTCAATAGATGGATTTCTGAGATCGGAGCTCACGCTGAGCGGTGCTTGTTGTGTGAGCACTGATCTTTATCATCCGATTATGCGATCCCATGTCAACGGCAGGAAACGGTGGCCAAAGTTTAACGTTCTGCAATGCTCGGCACGGTCCGCCCCGCCCCCTGAGGTCACCTGACCTTGGACGCGGTGGCTGTTACCGACCGCAGACCATATTGTCAGGGCCAACAGCGCGAGCCTAAAGGGACTCGAACGCACCCTGCCACGGATGGGTGGATCGGAGGGCAGGCCCTCTCACCAACAACACCCCTGGTATGGGCAGCTCAGAGAGAAGAAAAAAAACGGATGCAAATCTTCCTACTTTGCTCTTACTAGGTAGATCGCGATGAATGTCGATAGCCTGCAGGTGGTATCCTCGACGTGGGTGCGGCGTGGTCCTTCTCTTCTCCCGGACGTGAGACAAACTCTGCTGGCCGCGCCGTCTGCCGCCTCGGCGACGTCTGGACTGCAGTCATATCTGACATCACATCAACGCAGGTTCTGCAACAACTCTGCAGCGTCAGAGACAGGCGCGAGTGTAGAGAAGGGGGATGGCGCAGAGCACACTCAGCGCTAGCACAAATGTACGGGATGTTTGCTTGTTTGCTCGGGCTCCTCGTTATTAGTGTTAGTGACTGTTGAACCGTTTGCAGTCTCCGGACGCGCTGGGAATACACGTACGTCTCCGTGGTAACGTCGGACGCCTATACCGCGTTGTATGAGCGAAGTGGGGAGGGTCGGCCGAGCCGGAATTACGTTTCGGCAGTTTATTGTGGAATCTATTACGAGCTTTGTCTATTCTGAGTGATCTTTTAAAAACTCATTGGGAGGGGTACCTATGACTTCTGAGGGATTAATGCCCCTAAACAAAGTATCTATGCATCATACTCACAACTGCCATGTCAAACATCAGGGCCCTAGGAAGACGCTGGATCCCCACCCATCACTCGGCATATACAAATCCTGTACCTATGGCCTGTTCGTCACCATGCACTACGTGGGTGTACACTACACCACTGGTGGAGGGCTTGGAGAATACACACGCTTGCATTTTCACAATGTTAAACTGCATCTCGTTAAGTTCTCAGGTAGTATGCACATTTTCACGCACTTTTCTCGTGCAAATTTCATTCCCATATCAGGTCATCTCCTCCCAACTCCATCATAACCCTACAATCCTGATGTCCCGTTTACTCTCGGAAGCGGGGTTACACCCGTGATGCGCCATGTATCGGAACCAGCGCAGAATGTTCACGCCACCAGATCGACCAAGCGACGTACCTGCAGTGGTCGCCTGGTCTCGGCCGTTTCATCTGCCACTGACTCACTGTGCTAGAGTCGCCTGACCGCCCGCCATCAGGCAGCAGCGGTCGTGAAAACATATGGGAAGGCGCTCGTGATCCAGACCTCGCCCTTGAACCTCTTGCGCCCGTTCAGCAGCGGCACAGGCCCCCGCCCGCGCGCCCCGGGTGGTGCTCTCAAGGATCACGCCTGTGCAAACAGCCGGACGCCCCACGAAACACCCGGGGCGGGTGAAGTGCAGGGCTCTGTGCCAGACGACCGCCTGTTTCATGGACGGCGGTGCAGGAGATCTCATCCTCAGTCCGCCAGCTGAAGAGGTGCGGGTACGCCCCTGCTGCAGAGTGTAGTGCGCGGCTCCAGCCGAGGACAGTTCACGTCTGACTGGTGGCTGTAACAGCTGCCGAAGAAAACACACGTTCATGATCGATGACTTTATGGGCTGTAGGGTAGCGGATGTAGTTCGAAGAAAAATCAAGCAGTGTGGATCCAGGCTGGGTGCGAGTTTAGCGAGTAGTGCGAGTGTGAGGGTGCGAGTTCCAGCGTCCAATGTGCCACCGTGATCCTTTTAGTGCGTAACTGAGCGCAGTCTCACCACGTAGCGGAGTAAAGATGCCATCGCAGGTTTTGATTGTCAGCATCCGAATGTGTTTCTATGTTGGTGAGAGCACGCTCCGCCCACATTGGCCAATCCAAACGAGACCGAGCGAGATCAGATCACAAAAACGGAGCGCCAGCTGCTCACCTTGACGGTCCGGTCCGGCCCCGTCCCAAGGTCAGTCGGGGGTCATCCGATGGTCGCCGGCTGAAGAGGAGCAGCCGGCGGCGGCTGCGCCGGACCCTGACGGTCGCCGGCGGATGGACGCGCGGCGCCCGCGGCGTCGCTCGTCCCACGAAAATGTCGCCACACCGGTTCCGGGGCGGGATGCGCCCCGCCGAGCGCGTCCCCCGTAGTGCTCCGTGGGTACTAATGAGCGCGGTTAATTGGCCCAATCGGAGAGGGTACAGGCGCGTGTTAGGCGCGAGATGGAGACGCCAGATACGGCTGGATTTAGGGCCACCGGTCTCCGGGTTATTCAGAAGGAGTAGTTAACAGGTAGAGGCCTCCCGGATGGTTAGTGATATCATGGCACTGATGAACATGACCAGCCTGCTATCTAGATACTTGGACAAACGACGAAACGTAACTGGATCGTTCTATCTTTACTTATATTTAACCATTTTGTCCACGTCAAGCTAGACGTAGCTTGTATATATAATTATCTCCAGCTAACGTCTGTAACCTAATATTTCAGTCGACTTCTGTATGGTACTTGAGTGTTCTAGCTTTGTTTCATGGGGATTGCCCGGCATTCGTTTTTACATGCGTGCCATCTGAGCCGCGGGCAACCGTGACCAGGGGCGCAGGAAGGAGTTCCTTAAGTTGGGTCGGGGGAGGGACAGAACTCGGCGATTGTAAACCACGCCAATTTTAGCTTTCTGTCGGGTACCATCGATGGATGAAACCATAAAAACCCGAGACTTAATGAGAAGGCTTGCCTGCACCCCTGGCTGCTACGGGAGCCACGCAACGATCTTTTTCAACTAATGGTAGCCATTCGATTGTTTGCAATCAAGTTGTACAAAAACGTACTGTAATAAATGACTCTTTTTTACACTACGATTGCGTCATTACACTCAAGCTACCGCGATACGTTCATAAAAATGCGCCCGCCCACAATGTACGGTTCATGCGCAGAAACTCGCACGAGGGCCGCGAAGCCAGATAATTAATAGGGCGAACCGAGCCACGGCACACACCATGTTAACAAAAAGACGCGTCAGCCTAATGAGGGACCTGAAATGGTTGTGACCGCCTTTGTTTTTTACGCCAGGTTTAAAACATAATGTGAGCAACAAAAAGTGGCTGTGGCGTCCGTGCAGTCCTCTTCCACGCCTGATGTCTCCTTGGTTATGAGTCCCTGTGGGACGACGCGACCTTGGAATTGAGGCTCCACCCGCCCTGCGCGCGCGCGCCGGAGATCACGAATTGAAGCCGAGCCACGGTGGTGCGGCACCTCACAGACGCAAGCTCGGTCGCATCGCCTCAAGTGAGAACAATGTCTACGCCGGTTTTACGCCTTTCGTTCCATCACGACGGAAGCTGGACGAGCACGCTGTTCTCTTAACAAACTGACCCCGATGGTGTGCGCTACCTGACCATCACTGACAGCAAGTTGCGATACGCCCACGTACGTTGTCTGAGCATGACCATGTTAGTTTCAGCAGAACGGACGTCGCGGCCTCCAACGGAGCCAGTGACAGCCAAACGACAGCATCACTTATGTATTACAATGTTGCGCAATGATACACATGCTTTGACGTAGTCAGGGAGAGTTGTACACGGGTCGTGGGAACCAAGCAGCGGGCACGGACGACGCATTCCAACAAAAACGGAATCACGCTGAGACCTTAGAATCGTCCAGGCGGCCGGTCACCCTGTTCACTCGTAACCGACAAGCCAGCCGCTTGCCACAGTTCAATGGCCCGTGTGGCCTGTTCGCACGCACACACTCACACTCACACTCACACACACATAGAGTACTGTAGATGAGAGCCGCCGGAGTGTGCAGAGCCCGCGGGCGTGATGAGGGCGCGCCGGCGCCACTTGCGGCGCACCCCGCCGCAGTATGCCGGGCGACGCTGGCGCCGCCTCCTGGGCGGCAGGCGGAGCCGGCCTACCGGACAGCGGGCGCCGGTGGCGCCGCCTACTGGACGGCAGGCGGAGCCGGCCTACCGGACAGCGGGCGCCGGTGGCGCCGCCTCCTGGGCGGCAGGCGGAGCCGGCCTACCGGACAGCGGGCGCCGGTGGCGCCGCCTACTGGACGGCGGGCGGAGCCGGCCTACCGGACAGCGGGCGCCGGTGGCGCCGCCTACTGGACGGCGGGCGGAGCCGGCCTACCGGACAGCGGGCGCCGGTGGCGCCGCCTACTGGACGGCGGGCGAGACTGGCGCCGGCGATGCCTGCGCTGGCGGCTGCGGCGAGGCGCCCGTGCTGGGCGACGGCACCGGCGAGCCGATGGCGGCGACGGCGGCTGGCGCGCCGCCCTGCGCCAGCACTGCCTGCGCCTGCTGGCGCGCGCGGAACTCGGCGGCACGCAGCTGCTCCATGTGGAACTGCTGGCGCTCCTGCAGCAGCTGCTGGCGCTGGTACTCGAGCGTCTCGCGCTCCTTGTCCATCGTCGTCTCCAGCTCCTCGAAGTGGCGCAGCTTGATCTCCAGCTTCTTCATCTGCGTCTCGACCAGCTGTGCCACCAGCGACTTGATCTTACGCTCCTCGACCGCGGCCAGGTGCTTGGCCTTGATGGCGGCGGCGCTGAGTGCGGCCGACGCGGCCGTCTGCAGGCTAGCGTCCTTCACCAGCCGGTCGCGTTCCGTCTCCACGCGCGCCACCTCCTCGGGCGTGGCCGGCTCGGCCGGCTCCTCCTTGACCGGCTCGCCACCGGCGGCGGCGGCGGCGGCGGCGGGCGCCGGCTGGTCACCGCCTGCGCCGGCCGCTTCTTTCTCCTCGGCGCCGGCCGCCTCCTTGGCTGCGTCGCCGTCGCGCTTCTCAGCGGCCTCGTCGCCGTCCGGCTTGTCGCCGCCCTCGCCGCCGGCGGACGGCTCCTTCTTGTCGGTCGCCTTCCGCTCCTCGTCCTCCTTCTCGGGCACGGTGCCGGCGATCCCGCTCTGCGGCACGGGGCGCGGCCGGTCAGCAAGGCGGGGTGGGGAGGCGGGCCGGCGGCCGCGGCACGGGAGGCGGCCGGTCAGCACGGCGGGGCGGGGAGGCGGGCCGGCGGCCGCGGCACGGGGGGCGGCCGGTCAGCACGGCGGGGTGGAGAGGCGAGCCGGAGGCCGCGCCGCCACACGGACACGCGGCTTCACGTACGTGTGTGAATATCAGTGCCCCATGAGTATCTCCACGGATTGTCATGGCACAAAAAAAGAATGTCTGGTGCCAGGGTTAGAGTTTTGCAACATCAGTTATTTTTGGGTATGGGGGGATGAACCATGAAAATTACAAATCCTACGCCAAAAAATGCACCATCAAACAGGGTTTACCTTGGACATTGTCGGAAACTTTTTTCTCAAGTTGAGGGCCAAGGGTTGAAACTGAAGCCCTGGGAGGAGCTTGAGCTCCCCTCACCCCGACCTGAAAAGGAAGCTAAACCCCTGCCCGGAGACACCTACAGATGATCTACCGCACGCCAACGTAACGGAACTCTCCCCTGGATGAGCATTCCACTTAATTTCAATATCCTGGTAATCCGGTAAATACCAAAGGAAAAAGGAAATATCGGGGTGGTTGCACGGCCGGCGGGCACGGCACTAACACAAAGTGGCAAGGGCGTCGTGAATTGGGAAGACATCGATCAAGGAAGTTCATTAGCCCGAAATCAGCACAGGAAGCCAGTAATGTATTGTGCAAAACATATCTGGCATTCAATGTTAACGATCGGGTGCCTTCGCAATGTTCATTCGGCGCGAGAGCTATGGGAGTATCGCATACCAGTGGCGTGTGACCAGTATGGCGCAGTTCGCTACCTGCGGGACTCAAACCCGGAGTCGATGCCATTCGAATACCGATTTCGCCGCTCCGATATTCGCCGAATCCGAATACTCCACCGAATATTCCTTCCAAATTTCAAATATTCAAATATTCAAACATTCAAATACTCCACAACTCCCACCCTCCCATGCACCCACCTTCTCCAGCGCCGCCTGGGGTTCCTTGCCCTCGGCGATAGCTCGCGCCACGTTCTTGACGTGCTGGTCGAGCAGCGCCGACGGCACCTCCTCCTTGATGCGCGCGAACTCCTCCATGGCTGCCTTGGCGGCGGAGGCGGCCACGCGCGGGTCCACCGTGCTGGCCAGGAAGGCCACCGTCGACATGATCGGGTTGCCTGACTTGCTGAACGGGATCGGCTGGTACGCCAGCGGTCCGATGGCCCCCTCGCCTGCGCGCGCAAACCCGGTCGTGTGGTTAGCTCGCGCCACATACCGTACAGGTTACGAAATAGCGTCAGTTCTCCCGCGTACAAGGCGATTGTGGGGCGGGCCGACGAGTAGGATGAACCATGGGGAAATGGTAGACACGACACACGAAAGTTCACCAACGCACTGCAAGTTGATGGACCTAAGACAGATTTCATGCGAACATACGGCTTGTGATCGTGGCAAAACCAGAAAAATACGTCGAACCGAAACGGATACTGAATATATATATATATATATATATATATATATATATATATATATATATATATATATATACGGATACGGATACGGAACCGAAACACAGTAACTGAGATCACCAGCAAAGCTACTGGTTAGATTATCGTAGACGGCAGGACGGTAATTATGACAATCAACACCAACCAGCCCCGCATCGCGTCAGAAGCACTCGCATTCGCAGTGGCGTTCCGTACCCCAGGTGGGATCCTCCAGGTAGGGGTCCTCGATGGGCAGCCGCAGGAAGTACAGGATACACTCGTCCTGCGTGCGCGTGCCCACGTGCTCACACACCTGCCGGCGGGGGCGGACACCTGCGTCACGCGCGGCTCTCAGGCACGACAGCCGTGGCCGGGCCGCAGCACCGGCGCCGACCGTGGCGAGCGCGCGCGGCTCGGCACCACAAACCACCAGCCGCCGGCGCCGCACCGGCCGGAATAGTGGCTCAGTGACGTTGCAGTGCTTTTACGAGTATCTCACGCATTTTCGGTTACAAACACCAGCGAAAAAATACACAGCAGCCCTTCTGACTCGGACCCGCTCGTGCCTCCCCGCCGCCTGCTGGGCGCCCGCTGCCGATCCGCCGGCCGCTGCCGCTGACCTTGTTCCAGTCGTCCTTGTACAGCTCGAGCGCCTCGAGCAGCAGCAGCGTCTCCTGCTCGGTCCAGTCCCGCGCCAGGTTCGCTGCCTGCTTGTTCCGCATCAGGCCGGACTTCTTGGCGTACCTGGCCACGCACAGAGAGAAGATGCAATGAGCTCACGGCGCTGCAGGGCCGGACAGGGGGTTCAAGAGGTGATACGAGCGGTGCCGGGCCAGAGACGACCGAAGAGAAACACCACGCAGCCGGTAGGCACCGCCGGCATGCGTAGCTGTGTAACCACAGAGGCACGCTAGTCCGTGCAGATTCCTGCTGGTAGCCGTCTGTCCCGACCACCTACATAGCTCATCACCAACACGCCCCCACCCGCCCCGGACCCCAAGTTTTGACAAGACAACCGGCAGACCGAAGGCCGCCGCCCGCCCGAGCCGCCGGCTTACTGATCGAGCTTGAGGCCGAAGTTGTCTGTGATGTCCTTGGCGTCGGCGCGGGCGCCGGCGCCGGCCGCCTCGCCGTCGGGCTTCTTGTCGAAGTCGCACAACTGCTTGGCGGCCGACGGCTGCCCGGTGCGCGGCGGGTTGATGGGCTGCAGGCCGGTGGGCGTGTCCGACAGCACGTGGAAGTGCGAGGTGGGCGGCGGCCCCATCGACATGGGCCGGCTGTCGCTATCCACCTGCCGCCGGGGGACGACGGTCACGCGCGACACTACGGCGACGGCAGCGCCCGGCGCCCCGCCCCGCCGCGCTGGCGCCAACCACCGCTCGGCCACGCTGCGGCCAACCACGGCAACGGCGCCTGAGCATCAGCTGGCGCGATCCAACACAGTTCACACGGCACCAGCTATCCGGTGATTTGTCGCCGGTCGAACAAGCTCGGCTCTCCAGTAGCGCTGCGGCTACCCCACGCGGCGCCGGCCGGCTGACCTGGTAGTTGATGAGGCCCCACTGCTCCAGGAAGGCGTGCACCCGCATGATGGCGCAAACATCGCCGGCCAGGTTCCGCCGGGCAGCCGTGCTCGTCATGTACTCCGTGGGGTTCAGTCTGCCGGGCACGGGGAATACATGAACGGACAGCAGTACCGGACTCGAGACGCACGCCAAGCAGGGAGGGGGGCACAGGCAGGACACCCGGTGTGTGCGGGGTCTGGGGGACAGCAGCACTTAGTTGCTGGCAGGGGTCATTGGGCATGCATGGCCATTGCTGACAGCGGAAGACTGTCGAGTTGGGGGGAAACGATCGGGTTTTACGCACACACACACAACCGCTGAAAGGTCACGGCCAGTAACACACGCACACACCACACACAAACAATCAAAACCGCCCGACACAGATGTTCTTACCATACCAACGGCTGGCTACAGCCCCTGTGCTAGCCTCATCGGCCCACCTGTATGTGTCGATCATGAAGTTCCTGTAGGCCAAGTAGGTCTCTGGTGTCTTGCTCTTGTTCTTGTCGTTGAAGAACTCGGGCATGGCGCGCTTCTCGATGCCGTGGATGGCGTTGTAGTCGAACCAAGCCGAGTAGCTGGGCACGATGATATTGTGCGTCTGCTCAGTAGCGTTGTCCTCCATCTCGTCCTGCGGCGGCGGCGGTGGGCAGAGCGTCAGGCGGGAGGAGGGGACGTCGGCCCGGCGGACGGGCGTGCGGCCGGGCAGCGGAGCAGCCTCCGTGGCGGGGCGAGGGGCCGGGCTCCAGACGCGAGAGCCAGTCGCCCCGCAGCAGAGTGGCGCCCGTCCCCCCCCCCCCCCCCCCCCCAGCCCCGCAGGTGGTATCGGGAGCCAGCATCGCGCTGGGGCTTTCAGTCAGGCCGGACGCGGGCGAGTCGTGTTCAACTTGAATTGGGGCTGTGGTCTTCAGTTGTCGTTTGGGTGAAACTTAGCACGAGGCACAGACCCCTGTCACTAACAGGCGTTCACTTCAGTGTGAACACTAACACTTTGATGCCACCAAGCAGTCAGTCCTCGTCAATTTTTGAAAGAGCAGAGCCAGTTGCAACCATTGACCTCACTCGGCGTCAAACGCAACAGCAATAACGGAAGGCGTAAAATGAAAATGAGTTTAATACATTCAGTGACAGTGGTGGGTTATTTTGTGTAGTTACAGTAACAGCCTGCCACCGTGCGTCACTATGAAAGTGGTACAATGAATGTGATCACTGGCAGTGATGTACTAAGCCAAGCACACTCCGGAGCCTGATGTGCCAGCTGAAAGCAAAACACGCATTCAGCCATAAGGGCTGAATAATTTCCAGGACCCTGGTGAACGCATTTTCGTCTGACTGATATCCCACCGACCAAGAAGTTGCAATATAACGCGCGCCAGTTACCCACGACGTATCAACAGCAGCTCAAGGCACATCGCTGGCTTGGTAGCGTTAGCCTGCCGCGGCCCGCGGCTCCCAAACCAGCTACGCGCCCCGCGGCTCCTCGACTAGCCCCGCGCCCTTCAGCTCCGAGTATCCCCGCGCCCCGCGGCTCCCGGAGCGGCCCCGTGGCTCCCAGAGCAGCCCCGCTACTCCCAGAGCAGCCCCGCTACTCACAGAGCGGCCCCGTGGCTTCCAGAGCAGCCCCACAGCTCCCAGAGCAGCCCCGCTACTCCCAGAGCGGCCCCGTGGCTTCCAGAGCAGCCCCACAGCCCCCAGAGCAGCCCCGCGGCTCCCAGAGCGGCCCCGTGGCTTCCAGAGCAGCCCCACAGCTCCCAGAGCAGCCCCGCGGCTCCCAGAGCGGCCCCGTGGCTTCCAGAGCAGCCCCACAGCTCCCAGAGCAGCCCCGCGGCTCCCAGAGCAGCCCCGTGGCTCTCAGGGCAGCCCCGTGGCCCCCAGAGCCGGCCCGCGTCGGCTCACCTTCTTCTCGTCGGCCGCCTTGCTGGGCTCCTCCTGATTGGCCTCCTCATCCAGGTCCACCAGCGTGCCGCCCTTCACCGGCTGGTTGTCGCCATCTTTCTTGCTGGCTGCGGACGCCAGGGGCCGCGTTGGGGTTAGTCGCACCCAATGGCTAGCCGTTAGTCAGATGGCGCGGAGGAGCTCCACCATACAGCCCACGCTGAGACGTCAGACGGACAAGACCGGAAGCCGATGACACTGTGTGGCGGTCATGTCGCTTGTCCACATCGTATGTGCTTGAAATTAACTGTACGCTACTGAACGGTCAGATGGCGACGAAAAGGAGGGGGTTTAACGACCGCTTCACAGCCGAGCACACGGACCGGCGGCCGGGCGCGGACTTACAGCCTTTGGGGAGCGCCACCTCGGCAATGCTGGTCTCGGCCGGCGGATCCTCCATGTCCTTCGTCAGGTCCTCCTCGTCGTCGTTCTTGGACCGCTTGCTCTTGGGCTTCGGGCCGGGAGTCCTACGGATCGGCAGGGCACAGGCCATTGGCAAATCTGAGCCACAACAGTCGCGGAGGGCGCAGCGTACAGCGGCGTGGTCGTGGCAGATGACGCTGTACTTGTGAGACGCTTACTTGCATGACACGCTACAGTGCAGGTCACACACGCGCCATACGATATCTCCGCCAAAGATCAAACAACCGCTCCCAGTGCACGGGAGCACCGCGCCCATCCGGTCTGCTGGTGGCTTACTTTCGGGACTTGGATTTGGAGGCCACCGGAGACGGCGAGCGTTTCCGCTTTTTGGAGGACTTTTTGGCCTTCTCCGACTCGCCGGCGGCCATGGCGTCCAGGTCGTCGACGGACAAACACATCTGGTGACAGTACACTGGTCAGTCAGCTCTGACATAGTCACATGACGCCATGCAGGGGTAGACCGCAACGCCAACCATGGGTCCTTAAGCAAGTGCAACTGTTTTATATCCCTGAAAGCCAAGACAGTTACCAGCACTTCTGAGACTCACGTCCAGGATTATCCTGGTTGGGTCAGCCAGAAGTGCTGCCTTTTCTCCTGAACTGGCTTCTTCATACCACAGCATTTGACACAATAACTAGATAAAAGGTTTATCGAAATTCCATATGCATGATCGTGGCTCGCGACAAGCCTGGGTATGGCAGCCTGTCGTCGAGCATTCCTTTACCTCGTGTTTGTTCTTCTTGCCCGTCTCGTCGACCTCGTAGTCTTCCTCATTCATCCACTCGTTGTACTCGTCCAGGTCCTGGACCCAGTTCAGGGTGACTCGCCACTGCTTCTCGGCATCGAATTCGGGCGACTCGGGTACGTTGTCGTCCAATTCAAGACCTGCGCATGCGCAATACGCGCGTAAGCGAACAATGTAAAGGAAGAACTATCAAATTTGCTACCACCTTTGCCAACATGCTAGGATTTAAGGCATTATATGTGCATGACGTCAGCAGGTCACACAAACAAAATCCTCATTATTTGTTCCACAAGCAACTTAATGCCAGCACTAAGCAAAAATGGATCTGACCAAAAGGATAAGTCATGCAACTGCAGCAACAAAATATCCCGAGACACGTTTCAGACGAGAGGACGCCCCCCCCCCCCCCCCCCCCCACGTTCCGTTGACTACGTCGTGTCGACTGACCTGTGACCCACGTGTCGTACGAGTCGGGGAAGTAGTACCAGTGCAGCATGGTGTACTTGTCGCGCTTGAACAGCGGTCGGGCGTACTCTTCCTCCAGCGGGTCCTGCGTCGGGTACACCACGTGCGTGGCCTTGTCGCGGGACTCTGGCGGCGCGGGTCCGGGTACGTCAGCACCACCTGAGCCCAGCACACCCCGCGTGTGCCTCTGATCTTCACGGGCTCTTTTGGCCTAGTTCAGGAACACCACATAGAACACAGCTGATCACCATTTTACACAAATCAACGTCACATCAACACACCAAACACGAAGAGCACGCAAAGGTACGGCCCTCGTCCACTCGGCAAAGCGGGCTGGCCGTCCGACGCGGGCGCAGGGCGGCCGCCGGTCGCCGACGTACCGGCGATGGTGCCGCCGTGCGCGCGCACCGTCTCCTTCAGCTTGTCGCGCTCCGTCTTGTCCACCTCGTGCGCGATGAACACGCTGGGGATGACCAACTGGCCGGCGGCCACCAGCGTCTTCTCGATCGCTTGGAACAGCTCGATGTGGCGGTCCATCTTGGACGGCGACTGTCGGCGCCCGGCCACCCGCCACAAGTTAATCGAGGACGGGGCGACTGCGAGCCGGCTCAAACTACGCGCTGGGCCGCCGCAGAATGGGGATTTGCGGCACGTATTCGCCCATTGAATGGCGGGCTAGACCACACGAAGCAAGACGGATGGACGCAGTTTCGGACGTTGAAGGTTTATGCTTGCATGTAGATTACCACGTCGGTGGCAACTTTTGAATGACACATCATTGTCTACTGATGGCAAGAACATGAACACGTCTAGAACATCCATTGAAAGCATGCGCAGTGAGTGATGTAGGACTAACTTCACAGTAACAAGATGCTCCTTACCTGGAGATCAAACCTTCGTAGGGCATGGTCCGTCTTAAACTTATATACTGCTGCCAGAATTTGACATAAACCATTGCCTGGTTCGAAGTCCACAAAACACCGTGCCTATGGAGAAGACACCAATGTGAGATGCAGAACAACACAGGCAAACGTGTCATTCAGTCAACATGATGCAAAAACGTAATCAAATGACGCACGTAATAAAACAATACGGATGAGATTAGACGGGCTAATATGGCAGTGAGAAACTTTCTTGATAAGAAATGCTTATGAATTCATTTATTTAAAGGAAATTTCACACATCTGAAGGCATTGAAACAAGCGTCAAATACGATGAAACAAACTCAGTTTTAAGTGTTGCCATACTTCGTACGTGGAAAAGACTGCTGTAGACAACACAATTCTCCATTTAGAAAATATGTTCCTCCATGGTTGGTTTCGTTGCGATGGTTTGACCACGTCATCGTACATTGCAGAGCATTGATTGAGAACCAATTGACGGCCGCTATATGTGGAAATCGCGCTCACTAACGTCAGATATGAACGCATCGGCAACGTTTTCTTGGTCTTGCTCGCCGCATGGCTTACGGAATGACACGACTTGAATGACGTCATCATAAAGTCATGAATGCCGAGGTGACTTTGAAAAACTCTCCCCAATATAACTTTCCCCATTTTCGCCGGCGTGTAGATCAGAAACCGGAGGGACTTGTGTCTTAAAAAGGGCAGGATTGTGAACAGCACCGAAATATTTTCAATACGTCTATTTGTTCAAAGCCCCACATTACTCTCTCTGAACCACACACAGGTGACTTACCATATGCTCAATATTAAAACAAAATCACATCAAGCTGCTGTTATTTGGAATAAAAAGCTATCAAGATACTACACAAATCCAACACTTTCTCACCGGACGTACGTAAACGACACAGCCTACTTCCGAAACATACCTCACGCCAGCATGGCGTCCTGGCTTCCATTATGAGTAACAACATCGGCAGGGCAGATAGGCTGGGATCATCATAGGCTAGGATAGGTTAGGATCATCTTCACCCCCAAACTCCCAACGTGATGGAATAAGTGCAGGAAGAGCACAGGACCACGACAGATGGCAGAGCATGTATCTGTGATGATGGCAGAGCATGCTGTGTATCTTCACTCAGCACAGGGATACCTGTTGTCAGAGCTACAAGGGGGCAGGTGGGAGTGTGGTTACATTAATGGGCAACTTGTACTGGTGATGGTATCTGGGTGCCAGCCAGCAAAAATGTTGAAGCTAAAATGCTATTATCAACAGATAATGTTACTGCCACACAAGGGGAGCAACATAGCTTGGCACAAATTTCACTAATTAACACAGGTGTGTCACATGCTGCAATGACTGGTACTGACCAGAACCTTGCAAAATGACATTTCAAATAATTGCACCATTATGCATGATATGGTTAACAAAATATATCCACATAAAATAACCAGCCACACAGACTTATCATTTTCGAAAAAAAATGTAACTTACTGGAAGCCGTGTTCTAGCGGGTTTGTCAGCATCCTTTCCGAAGTTGTCCTCTTGAAACTGTATCAGTTGAACAACAAGCTGGACTAGACTCTTCGCTGTTGGAGGATCTGCTGCGACGTGCTGCAAAAAAATTGGGGCACGTGAAGCCGACCCCTTCTGGTCCATAATGCCTTCCATGCCAGGCGGGGATCTTGAACACCTTAGATAACCATTAGCGATGGAGAACCTACGTTTAACTACACATGTTTGGGGCAAACCCGTACGTCGTTAGTCAAAAACATAGAAATTTGCATTGTCAAGCTTCCCAAAAACAGGGCAGATTGCTGCCTTGCTTGTGGCAGGACCAAGGCTGCTCCAAGCATCTTGTCCCTGTCACACTAGTCTGGATACAATGGCAGGTTTCAACAACATCTTATCAAGAGGAGGTGGAGCAAAGACCCTTAGGCACCAGCACAGATGTTTGAAGTCCTGGAGCAGGTCTGGAGCTGGCCAGGTCAGGCTCACTCAAACTAGTCTGGCCAGTAAATATCCACATTACTGAGAGCTCCAGGAAAGGTCCCAGAGCTCCCAGCACATACCCCAATGAGGGGTGCTTGTGTGGAACAGGCTTTGGCATAGGCCTCCAGGATGCATGCCGCTTTGCCCCCCCCCCCCCCTCCCCATCCTCTCCACCACCCATTCTCTTCCATCCTGCAGCCCTGAAATAATTCTTACTAGCCAAAATAGCCCAAATCCCATTGAAACCAGAATATCTGTGATGTATGCAAGGGCAGTTGTTAGGCAGAGTGCCACATCTGATACACAGCAGCTGAATTTGTGCGCAAAAATTATTTTCCTCCAGCAAACTATAACAGAGGGATTGAAGTGGTCTATATTCACATTATGCATGTCATTATAAACTTGGTAACAAATTTAGCCATGCATAGCAGAAATGATGCCAGCCAGGCAGACTATGTGCATTGCTAAAAATGGAATAATATTTGGGTTGTTCAAAATACCCAAGGTCAGTTTGATAACCAAGATTACAAAGCAGAAAACATATTTAGTATTGCTGGTTTGTTGGTGGTGTGCCACATGCCAGTATAAACTGGTAGCTAATACCTTTTTCATTATTTTCTCACCTCTTAGTGAGTGCAACAGCAAATGCATGCCTACTTTCTAGGCTATAAAGCAAGCTTCAACTTGAGGCTACAATGCGTGGTGTGATATCATAACAAAGCATCCTCCAATGTATGCACCTATGAAGGCTGTCATTGTGAAAATGAAAAGAATGACACTCAAGCATTTCAATTTGCAGTTGAAAAGACCCCAATAATTTCTCTAAAATGCCATCACTGGTCCACAAACTATGTCCACAGCATATATATTTTGCCAACAGCAGGAAAATTTTGATATAGCACCTAATCCTGTGATGAAAAATAGAACAGTTCTGATTCTACTAGTCCTTTTCTGTTTCCGCAATGTTAATATCACCAGTTTTTTGTGAACTTACCTGAATGGAACAAGATTTCCTGCATAAAACATCCACCTTATAGATTGTGAATTAACCTGGATGGAGCAAGGTTCCCAAATAAAATGCCCACCTTATAGATTAGCATTTACTGAATACATCAGATAGTAATTTGAGCTCTTCTAGCACATAAATAAATCAAAACAATATGGTACTTGATGTCTTCATTCACAGTGCACAACAAACACCCTTTTGAAAATAATATTGTATAGAAATATTGCTGGACATGTTCTCAGCATGATAAGTTATTACCTGATGCTTCAATAATAGTTACAACACCAACTGCACACAAGACATCACTTTGCCCATACCTACTTGTGCATCTTAAGCCAGGAAACTGCAAATTATGCTATTTTAAACAAATCACACAGCAGTTCCATATACCATTCATGCACCATCAAATGCACCATGCATCTACCAGACATTGGTGCTCCAAGCATTGTGCTCAAGCATTTGAAACTTATGACAAGACAAGTTGCACTGTATTTTCACATTCTTAAGATGACACTTTTGGAGTGGGCCTGCCTGAAAATACCTTTGCTACAGCATAGCCCCTTGAAAAAATAGATCCTTACATGCTGGAACTGATGGTCACTATATGCTTACACAATGATCTCTCAAAACAGTGCCCGTGCACAAAATTGAAAGCTGCTATCTCAATGTTACTTTTAAGCCAGACACATTCTAAATAACAGTTATTTTCATAGTCTGGCCTCCACATAATCTGAAGGCATATAAGTGCTGAAAAAACTCCCAGCTCGGAAGTTACCTTAACCTACTAAGAACATACCATCCATATCCTCCTGCCACAGCATGCTCAGAAATTGTGTGTTTTGGATCATTGAACGATCACAAAAATTCATATATTTCGTTCAAGGGCACATTTCAACCCCAAAGCATATGCATTTGTCTGGGCCTATACAAAAAGCCGGTCCCAAAGCGCGACAAATGCAACGCACTTATACTCGCACTATTTTAACAATAACTGGCGCTCAATAAAGCTTACCTTCTTTGAATTCTTTAAGAGCCACGATTTCACACCCTCAAACAGTGCAAGGACTTCTGGAGATTCGTAGAACTTCGAATTCGGACGACCATCATTTTTTGGAGCGTACGCCATCTTGTCAGCGCCGGCGCATTTAAGGTTCAAGGTCTGCACTGAGGACGCCAAGCTGCTATGGGCCTAAAGTGCTGCTAATATTCCTTGATAACAAAGCTTTTCTGCCAAGTCCATGCTAAGGTTGGAAAAAAGACAATTCTATTACAATTTGAAGTAAATCATCTGCGAATCAGCGATATCAATACTCAGTTGATTGATTGCTTTATTAGGTCGCATCTTACCCGAGGGTGAATGCAAAATGCTGTCTTAGGAGACGAACGTCAGCTTGTGAGCAAAATGTCAAATGGCGTCCCGATTTTCGTAACTGAACGCATTCCGCTTTCTGTTACACGAGTTTTTAAAAGAAAATCCCTTGTTGATAGATACTCTGCCTTCTTCGCATTCTAGACTCTAGAGACGCCATTTCTTGCAAGGCTCAAGCCATTTAGGGAAGTATGGTCCGGTTTTCCCCTTTCCCATGAATTCGTTCTTGATTCCGTTTCGCAGAAATCGCCAGTTGCGAAGCACCAAGCAAAATACGAGAATCTCGATCGAAAAGCAGTTTGCGATACCGCAGCTATCCCGTCAATCCCGTCGTGCTGCTGCATCTTGGATTGTTTTGAGATACATTTCTGTTCACAAATCTCTCCAGAATACCGGTCGTTTTCGCCGCCGTGAAGATCAGCTTTGACCATTTGAGACACGCCTTTAAATTTCCAAGAGCTTTCCGTCAAGGTCAAACACGTTGGGTCATTCGCGAATTTAGAATATTCTTATCTCGAATTCCCTTAGTTTCACCTTTACAGATTAATGAATGGTCAAAACTTAAGTATCCTGGGTTTCGTTTATTTAATTAATGTAATGAAATGGGTAGCATATTAATCCTCGTCACCTAAACTAATAATGCAAAGAGGGAAAAAACAAACTCATGGTAAAAAGTCATTTGCAGGTGTTAATATCACGCGTTTCCACCAACACTTTTTAGGACTGGCAGAGATACCTCTACGATCATATCAAGTGATCGTCGATCGCCGTGACGTTTCTCCGCTCTCCGCTCTCCGCTTTGCTGTGTGTGATGAAAGCAGACATCATAGTCATCAATATGACAGATACTAGTTGTTGTTTTTTCGATCAACGAATGGGGACAGCCCGGGAGGCCTACGACCAGGAGGCCTACTATCACTGTATCTACGCTCATGAGGCCTATACTCACGAGATACACGCCCAGAAGATTGACGCTCAGTTACCCAGTTACCCATTTACCTATACATGACGACTGACACCAACCGACTGAAGCCTTAACGGTAGTCATCCGACAGCTATCGATGTCAAAACAACACTTGCCGTTGCCAACATGCCCAACGTCAGTGCTGCGTTCCAGCCTTTAGCACACCTTGCGACTTCTGGTCAGGGGGCTTATGTGACAGCCTTTTACAGTCACGAATCCACCAGAGATATGTCATAAGGGCAATAACTATTCACGTTAATAGCAAGTGTCAAACACATATATTTCCTCCTTCTGACCACACCGGTGGCGCGGTTGGGCAATGCGCGTGCCAATGCTGGTGAGAGGCCCTTGGTCAAGCCTTCGGCAGGCTTGAATATGTCTTGTACAGTGCACGTTGTATGCGGTCGGCGCTTATTATGAGTTATCTCGTCTAAAACCTGCTGCACGAATACAGCCAGATATAGCGTTCGTCGGCATAGTTAGATGTTGAGACTTCTTTCGCTTACCAAAATTGTGTTCGCAGCAAGGTTCCAGTTACCCATTGGATGTGAATAATCGCCTGACGTGGTTATCATCAATCCCTCGAACAAGATCCAACACACGGATGCCATACCTAGCCACTGCAGTAGCCATCACGTGACCACTTCTGTCTTGATCATGAGGTGTAACAGAAGAGCACCAGAAAAAAAGCAAAACTTTCATCAAATAAGCATTCGTATGGTTTTGCACGATTTGGTCGCCGCTGACTGGAGCACTGCCCCGCTGCATTTTTCGCCTGACGAACGGTAGGATGCGTTCTTAATAATTGTGAAACTGCTGCTCGACAAACTGTTTCCATGGTGGCAAATCCAGATTCACAACTAGCCCACTCTCCCTGTGCTGACACAGACTTCTTTATTCTCAGTTTTAATTTGATTTCATGGTCTGGCGAACAGTCAGGCAAGACTTTGTCCCAGCCCAAGACTGCATCCTGCATACAAGTATCGACCACTACACACTCCGTTTCGCAGGCCCCTGCATTGGCCCCTATTCCCTCCACTCGAAGCTCACAAGTATCCAGAGCGTTCAGTGTGCCTTGAGGCTGAAACTAGACGGATGGGCGTAATTGAAAGCGAGCCTGATGAGAAGATACCGCAAACATGGCTGTCTACCAAAAATACTAAACTACCAGAGTCAAATAGGTGTCAATTAAGTTAATAGCCCACTCTCCCGTGTCGGGCGGCATTACGAAACTCACAGCACAACGCTGTGTACTTCGTCACCCCGCCACGATGTACAGGCATCTGAATCGTTAGGAGCATGCAGCCAGCCGATGTGACTGCCGCGAGGACATCTAAGGACACAGAGGGACGGAAAGCCCGCAAGCGAGCATCGCGTTATTCGTGGCATTGTCGGTGGCAAAGACCATCGCTATCCGTCAGGCCCTCCTTTTCGGCTGGCTGCGTCCGCCACTGGTTACGATATCCCTGGTCACGTGATGGCCCGAGGTACCGAGGTCAGCGTGACGTCCCAGACCACACGCCAACGGCCAGGGCGTGTTTTGCAGGCTTCCCGACTTTTGACGGTTCAAAGCCGCCAGACGCGTTCATCCGGCAATGTTGGCGCTTGGTGGATCTGGGAGGCATCCCTGCCGACGAGTCTGCCGGCATCATGATGGCGAAATGCTGCGGGCTCGAGATCAAGTTTGTGCACAGTGCTGGCGAGCGCCGGTTAAAGTGGCGTCACTTCTCACTGAAGATTTCGTATCCCCGAGGCCCGAAACGGCAGCCGCACAGCTGAGCGCCGTGCAAGAAGGGAAAAAGTCAGTGTTGGACTATTCTTTTATCATCAAGAAAATAATCCATTGGGCCTTTAAAAAAAAATTGCCCAGGTTTGTTTTCTATGCGGTGGGAGATGTAAATAAGATCTGCGTGCCGGACCTACTAAGCAGCGCTCTGTCGTCATTGTCTCGTCTGTCTCTCACTGGACCAGAAATGCCTGCACTTACGCCAAGGTGTGGTGTGGTACGAGGCAGCAGTCTGTGAGCTGACGTGGGAGAGCGCTTCGTCTGCGGAGCTGACCCTTCTCAGAGTCAACGTCACCACGAGGCGGTTCAGTGCGCGGAGTTTGGCGAGGTAACCACTGGCTCTTTGTGACAATGTCGGGCATCTGCGTCCCGCTTCCGTGGGGAGCAAAACCGGAACGAAACGGTCGACTCCTGTGAAGACGGACGTGGCTCCTACTCCCCGGATCGCTCGGTAGGGGAGCAGCCGGTTATTGCGCCAGCTGGTCGCCGAGACGACTGAGCGTAGGCGTGGCGGATCGCCAGCTCTATCGCCGGACCGCATTGTGGACCGCGCTCGCCGACCCGGGCGGCGCGCCGCTGGACAGCGGCAAGGCCACCACGCTAGCCGACCCGGGCCGCGCACCGCTAGAGGCTGCGGCGAGCTCGGTGCCCGGGCCGGCGCGGCGCTCCTCCCAGCGGCGAGCGATCATAGCCCTTGACGCCTCGAGGCAGGCAGCGGATGGCGCGCCATCGGATGAAGAGGATCCGCCACTAGGGCGCGGACATGGGCAGCGCACCGTCCAATGCTGGTTTTGACGCGGCTTCGGTCATCTCAAGAGGCATCGCCAAAACGTGCTGGCGGGCGGGCTGACGGCCAGACGTGAACCTCCCGACAGCTCAAGCAGCCATGGCCAGGCTCATTGTGGGTACGCCTTAACTGATTCTGGCAGTTAAGTACTTTTGATAGACAGCCGTGTTTGCGGTGTCTTCTCATCAGGCTCGCTTTCGACTCCACCCACCCGTCTGGTTTCAGCCTCAAGGCACGCTGAACGCTTTGGATACTTGTGAGCTTCGAGTGGAGGCAATAGGGCCCAATGCAGGGGCCTGCGAAACGAAATGTGTAGTGGTCGATACTTGTATGCAGAATGCAGTCTTGGGTTGGGACAAAGTCTTGCTTGACTGCTCGCCAGACCATGAAATCAAATTAAAACTGAGAATAAAGAAGCCTGTGTCGATGCCGACACGTACTGCCATTGGCCTGGATGTGAAGCTTGACTATTGGCTCGGAAAATGAGATTCCTTTGTATGTTCGCAATCATTCTGACGGCACCATCACCCTGCACAGACGCAGCATCATCGGATATGCTGAGCCGATCACGAATGATCAGTCCTGCTGGCCCTAGCTTGCGTCGGGCGGTGCCAACAGCACGGCAGCACAGGTGGACGCTGTGTCTTCAGACGATGGGCGGTACGTGAGAAGGAAAACTGATGACGTTCTCTCTGATTTCGTGGTGGGCGATTCCGTCGCTGGTCCCCAGCGTAACAAGTTGGCCACCCTAATGGCTGCGTTCCCGGAGGCATTTTCAAGGCGGCCATTCAGATATTGATCGGTATCGTGAGAAGAGAATGATCTTGGTTTAAAGCCCGGCGCGTGTCCGGTATGCACCAAGCCCTACCCCACTCCCCGCGCGCGAGGCCCAATGGAAGGCGCAACTGGATGAGTTGCAGGGCTGCAAAGTTATCGAAGAAAGGGTACCGTCAGACTGGAACTCTCCCACCATGCTTGTTGCGAAGGACTCCGATAAAATGAGGACTGCACAAGCTATGCGTGCTCTTAACAAGTTACTGGTTCCAAAAACATCCGTGCTCCCAAGCAAAGATAATCTTATTTTCTCGCTCGGTGGCTGGAGATTGCATCTACCTTGAAAGTAAGGCACGCATTCTGAAGTTTACGTTTGTCAGAGAGCTCCAGTCAAACATGTGCCTTTTATGCATTGGGGAAAACGTATTACCTGCGTAGAATGCCAATGGAATGCA